TGGCAACAGAGGCAGCCAGGCTGCGGCAGGAAGCAGCTACCTACCTACTTTTCTGCTTCTGATCTGACCTGATGGCCTGAACCCCGACATCACGCAGGAAACCGGTGGGAGGCAGGGCCAGGGTGTGCGCTTGCTTTGGGGGCTGCTGAGGGTTGTGAGGCTGTGCAGGCAGGACCTGCACAGCCTTAGGAGCATGTGTGGTGCTGACGCCCTGTCCTGTCCTGTCCAGGTGAACCTGATGCAACACATGAAGCTCAGCACCTCCCGGGACTTCAAGATCAAGGGGAACGTCCTGGACGTGCTTCTCCGGGACGAAGACGGGGACACGGATGAGGTCAGTGTCTGCTTCTGGCGGGAGCCCCGCCTGGTCCCCCTTCCTGACCAGGGGCTGCTGGGAGCAGCCGCAGGCAGCGAATGGGCTAAAAGGAGGTCAGGCCAAGACGAAACTAAAAACTCCCAAGAGAAGGGTTATGTGTTTTGAGCCACAGCTGGGTGCCCAAACTTGTAGACATTTTGGGTGCCCGTTTCCAGAAAGGGTGGTGACAAAGCAAGGCCTGACGGGGTGAAGCAGTGGACAGCGAGTAGCCCCGCATCCTGGCTCAGGGCCCTGCACCCACATCCTTCAGGCTGTCACACTCCGGGTCACAGTGCCCTGGCCCCACCCGCTCCCCTCGCCTCCTCGGCACCGGGGAGGAGCGTTGTGTAGTGAGCCTCCTGTCGTGTCCCACGCACCTCCCCAGGGAGAGGAGAGGCACACGCTGCCCTGCTCCGCCCGGAGGCCTCCCCTCTCACCCCGTGTGTGGGGAGGGGAAAGCACGACCACAAGGCTGCGGCGAGAAGATAGAGGGTTTCTTTATTCCCGTGCCTCTGAGCAGGTTTGTCTTACTGACGCGTCTCCTCCTAGGACACTGACTCGGAGCACGGGGCCCAGAGCAAAGGACCAGCCAAGAAGAAAAGGAAGAGGGAGACGAAATGCCTGAGTTAACACGAACTTTGGGGCTTCTGCTTTCTTCTTACCCGACAAGCCACACTGCCCCTGTGCAGCCTGCACAGACGCCGCGTCCTAGTTCTGAACCCGCTGAAACCAGCTGCACCTTTAGTCACAGGCCGTCGCTCCCGGCAGGTCCTGCTCCTGAGGACAGCACAGCTGAGAGCCTGAGTGCGGGCGCCTGGGCCACCCGATGAAGCTCCACGGGAGCGAATGCAGAGCCTCTGGCAGTGCTACGGCCCGGGCTGGCTGCGTCTTTCCAAGGAGCCTTTGGTGAGTTCGATGATCTGGTAAATGTCCAGCGCTTCACCTGAAAGACGGTGCGGATTGGTTACGATGCCTTCTCAAGGACGGCACTCAGGACTAGCAGAAGGACCGGAGGGCGGGATGACTGCGCTGTTACATTTGGAGGGTCCATGCTCTCTTTGTATAAAATGTTTGTCTTAGAGCCACTTTATATGGAAACGAAGCTTTCTGATTGTTTGGCATTCAAGGCACAAATTTTTTCACCTAAGAATGAATGCACTTTAACTTTGCACAATAAATCTTTAAACATTTCTCGTGTGGTTGGAGAGGGAAAGGTCCACATGGAAGAAACCAGAGCTGCAGATACTCCTTTGTTTCTGTGAACACGCTAGACGCGCATCCCTTTGTGCGCTGAACGTCACGTTCCCATTGGACCCAGGGTGCACCCTACTGCTCAGAGTGGACTCCTCTGGTGTGCAGACCACTTCCTAGTGGACCCCACATCCTGCCCACATGAGGAACGTGAATGAGTGTGCTCACCCTGGGGAATCCCGTATCTCCTTTCCATCCCAGTCGGGTTGGAGGGGGTTTTACAATCCATGGTCACTTCCTTCCTGAGGCAGCGGTCAATGTCGACGGCGCTGAAAAAGGCGACTGACTGGGGCAGGTCATTGAGGCCCAGCTTGTAGGCAAACATGCACCTGGAAGAGACCGGCCTCCTCTCAGTGATGCCCCTGCCGCGAGCAAAGGCCCATCACCCCAGGAGAAATGACCTGCACCCCGAGAGCAGGGCACTCAGCCAGGAGCACCGCAGGGCCACCGCTGCCTCCATCCGACACAGTGACACAGTGAGGTCCTAAAATGCAGCGACGGACTCAAACCTGTGTCCCACCCTGGCACACGTTCCTGAAGTACAAATTTTCTGTATTACTTGAATATGCGAAGACTGTTAGCTCGTTAAGCACAGCCCCCCAGGATACAATGAAGAGGGCAACGGAGACAGCGCTGAGCATTGTAAAAGCTCCTTATTTACCCATTAATCAGGAAAGGTCGTGGTTCCCAAACTGGTTCTGAGTGGCAGGTCAGCGTGGAACTGTGGTGTCACTTAACCATACAAGTCAGGCTTTACCGTGAGAAAATACAACCCAGTACGTAAACGATAAGTTATTCTGACATCACATTTGATTTTCTGCATTAAGGACTTATTACTTTGTTAGTAGTAACAGAGTAACAAACGTCTGGCACTAAAATAATTTGCAGACTTTTAAAATCTCAACTTTCTGTGGTTGATAAAAGCCTGTTAGGCAGGAAGGTGTTTCCAGGGAGCACACCTGAGAGCTCCTCTTTGGAACAGCTCCCCGACCTACAGCTCAGCGCCTCAGTGATCTAGTCTCAGGATACGACACTTTCAAACCAAGGGACCTTTCAAAAGTTGAAGGCCAGCCTTAAGACTTCCACAACTTTTTTAAAATTAGATAAAACTGAAACGTTCACTTCTGGGGAGATGAAAACTCAGATCACACTCAGCCTGGTGCAAAGCCCGCGCGTGAGCCTGCAGCCAGGCCCGCCTACCTGGTGAGCAGGTTGGTGATCTGCAGGGCCAGGGCAGCCCGGTAGCGGTCCTCCTCCCGCACCAGGTAGCGGACCTCGTCGTGGATGCTGATGCAGAACCGCCCGTCGATGGCGAACTCCTCAAACAGCCACTTCATGGCCACGAGCATGAGGTGCAGGTAGTCCACAGCTGAGCTCTGCACCACCCAGTTCACACGGCTGGTCATGAACTGCAGGGAGGCGGGCAGTGAGGGCCCAGCGGCACACCGGTTCCTGGGGGTGGGAGGTGGCCCAGGAGCCCTCCCTCCCTGACTTCCCCGTGCTCCGGGCAGAGTACCTCCCCCCGAGCCACCGCTGGCTCCAGGGCTCGGCTGACGCGGCAGCCCAGCACCGGGGTCCGGGGCTCGTCGGCCGTGGCAATGCTCTCCAACTTGTTGAACATTTCCGACTCTGTGCCCCCCGTCCATGCGCGTCCGGCGACCACATCCCACTTCTTCCTGCGGGACCTGGGGGGCCAGGAACAGACGGGACAAGCAGTGTCGTCCAGGATCTCAGCTGAAAACAGCCTCCCAGTCCTCCCAGGACCAGCCCAGACCCTCTGTCCACCCTTAGAGCACAGGAGGGCCTCACTTTCTAGACGCTTCCCTCTGGATCTTGCGCAGGTCCTGCAGGGAAACGCAGCCGTCCTCGGTCCTCTCCACGGGGATGTGCAGCTGCCTCACCAGCCACTCGCCCTCATCTGACAGCCGATACCTGGGGGCAGTGTCACCCCCATCGCTCCCATGGGAGTTCCGCCTCTGCCAAGCTCCACCACCACCCAGCCCCATTCCCACCACCGCCCGGGCTCCTGCCCCTCCCTGCAGGCTCGACCTCAGCGGAGGAGACAGGCACAGAGAGGCTCAGTTGCTGGGGCCACACAGCCAGAAACAGGTGGAACCCAGACAGGAATCCAAGCTCTGGTTATGCCGTGGTGGCCCCGCAGAGGACAGGCTAATACAGAAGCAACAGTTCTCTGTCCCGGTCCCTTAGACACCGAACTGCCAAGTGACCAACAGGTCTAACCCTACAAGGGAACCTGCTCAGGGCCAACTATTAAGCAAACGTCACGCCCAAGGATGAACCATCCTGGAGCTCGATCACAGGTCTGAAGGGAGACGGGCCAGGTAAGGGCGCAGGTCACGGGAAAGGTGGACGAGACCAGGCGGAAAAGGCTAGTAAAGCGCCTGAGGCCCTGGGGGATGACGGAGGGGAACCCTCACCTGCGCAGGCCCTTAGTGATGGCGTACATCTGCTGGGCCTTCTCGGCTGCCTCCTGGCCCGTGAGCCGGTGGTTGAACTGCATAAGCAGGCGCTCGGCGAAGGGCTGCCCTGCCCCGTAGATGCGGCCATAGTTGAAGACCTTGGCGTGCTCGCGGCTGATGCCCACCGTGGAAGCAGTCTTACTGTGCAGGTCGGTGCCCCTGCTCTTCCGGCCCTGCAGCGTCATCCACCCGAAGGCCGTGCAGCCTGCGGGCCGGGAGGAGTGAGAGGAGGCTCAGGAGCACTGCCCCCAACCTCGCAACCCGGCCCCCGGGGCTCAGGCGGCCGCCACCGTGCCAGCCGGGGCCCCTGCTCACCGTGCATGCCAGCAAAGTGAGCATCTCCCAGCACCGCCGCGATCCACAGCTCCTGCGAGTCCACGTCCGCACCCACCAGCACGTAGCCGGGTGGGGCCTGCACCATGGCCTTCAACTCGCTGCCTACTCGGTCGGGCTGCAGGAGAGACACCCCGAGGTTCCTACCCCACTCCAAGCCGGATGGCGGGCTAGCAGCAACGGCTGACGGGTAAGGGAATCCCTACCCTGCGCCTGGCCCGGTACCCCTTTAACCACGTCTGTGGCTGCCCCTCGTCGACATCTGGCCAGCAGCAGGTGCCCAGACATGTTTACTGAACATGGATGAGCTGTGGAGCCAGATGTGACCCAGTCCCACCTCACCCAGGTCTTGGGTTCCTTCTCCTGCTCCTCACTGACGGCCCTGCAGCCCCAGTTTCTGGAGACATGGGAGAGGAGGGGCAGGGACTGGAGGTGCAGGGGACACAGGACACGTACCCGGGCGTTGCTGGCAGTGAGCCACGTGGGCTCCACAGCCCGGCGGGTGATGGTGCCGGCGGTCACCACCTGCGGCAGGATGGCCCCATAGCAACCTTCTTCATCGTAATCCGGGTGCCTGGGCGGAGGGGGAGATGACCAGCCTCAGCAGTCTGCTTTGGTTCTAGGACACCCTAACTGTCCCCACAACCACTTGGCGGGCCATACCTGGTCACAGCACGGGGCAGAGCTGACCTGGGCAGCCACACCACCATCTGGGAGCTGTGGGGACAGACACGCTGAGGCTCAGCACATCACGGGGTCAGAACCCAACCCCTTCCCAGCAGGGCCCTCACTGCCCAGCTTCAGGGGCTGCTGTGCCTGCCCCCTCCTTGCCCAGCCTCCAGCCTCTTCCACAGTAACCCCTCTGCACGTAAACAGGGCAGCTGAGGCTGAAGAGGGACAGAGACTTGCCTGTGGGCAGGCAGCCCCAGGACTGCAAGTGGCAAGGACTCCAGACCCAGCTGGGCTGTTCCCTGCAGCACAGGCTGAGCCCGGGGCCCCGGGGGAGGCAGGGAAGGGAGTCCCAGCGCCGCAGAAACCTGGCCGGGGTAGGCAGGCACATCCCTGCCCTCCCACGGTGGCCCACCTGATCCGCTTATGGGCATTCCTCCAGAAAGAAATCATTTTGTTGATTTCCAAGGCACGGGGCCCGCTGGCACCTCCGGGGCCCGCCTGCAGCGTGCCGTCTTCCATCTTGGGCAGGAAGTCCTTGGCAAAGGGGCTGCCCACATTGCAGCTGTTACCATCCTGGGGGGCAGCAGAAGCAGGGGCTGGAGGCAGGTGGCAGACCCCTGGCTGGGAACCGGTGTCTGTGCACTTGGGCTCTGCCCGGCGCAGCTCGGAACCTGGAGCAGGGCTGTCAGGGCAGATCCCACCCTGACGGCCACACAGGCAGGCACCAGGATGGATACGACGCACCTGCCCCCTCACAGTAACAGCCGCCAGTCACAGGACCCACCATGCGGCAGATTCAGTGCCAGCCACCTGACATGCCCTTTCCCACCCGATTTCCACAGGGAAAACTGGCTCACAGAGATGGGCTCTTTGCCTGCGATCAAGCTCTGCCCACTGCCCCGGCCACTCCTGCAAAGGGGCAGCCTCCTGGTTTGTTACTCCGCCCACCTGCCAGGAGCCCTGAGCACGGTGAGGACATGGACGTGCGTGACCCAGGACACACCTTGTGAGGCAGCTTGAAGAACCAGCAGCCGGGGATGTCCACGTCATGGTAGGGTCCGTTGCCGTGGTGATAGGCGGGCTGGCTAGCTTTTGGGCCATGAGCACCAGTCTGTGGGCCACACACCTAGGTCAGGCCCTGCTCCGGCACCTGCATTCAGCAAGGGCCATGGGATAGGGTAGGTAGGGGTGGGAAAGGGGCCTGAAACGCTGAGCAGGTGAGCTGGGCGGTGACAGGACAGCCACCAGGTCTCAGGCTTCCTCCTAGGCCTTTCCAAGGCAGGGCAGCGTCTCCCAACCCCCCAGGACCGCTGGGACTCTGGTGGGAGCCCTAGTTGGGCAGAGGGAGGGCCAGACCCCAGGACCCACCCAGAGAGCCTGAGCACGTGCCCTGCTCACCAGAGCTGCGGGTCCACCCGGAGCCGCTGCTTCCCAGTTCTCTGCCTTGGCCTCGTCCTGCACCTCCAGGCAGCCCAGCTCTTCCACCTGGATGGGCCCAGGTACCAAGGGAGTAAAGCAGGAGGCTGGGTCGGCAGGAATCCACCAGCCCCTCCCTGCGACACGCAGACAGCCCAGGCCGGCCTGGGGTGAGAGCTGGGCACTCCCCGTGCCCCACCCCCCCCTTCCTCGGGAGGGAACAGGACCCTCCCCAGAGCTCAGGCCGCGCTCGCTTCGCCCTCACCATCTGCCACTCGGTGCTGCTCTCGGTGAGCAGGAACTCCTCGGCCAGGCGCGCCTCCTGCGGCTCCAGCTGCTGCTTTCCCTGCTTGACGCAGTGTGTCCTATACAGGGTCTCGATGGCTCTGGGCAGAGAACAGGGCAGCAGCCTCGGGTTATGTGCCTGCTCCGGGCCAGGCAGGTGCAGGGCGCCCTCCACAGCTCCCCTTGTCCAGGCCTGAGAATCAGCTCTGAGGCAGAAGTGGACAGTGCTCCCCGGTGTTTAGAAGGGGTCCTTATGTGCTCAGCCGGTCCTCCCAGAGCCTGAGCCTCACCTGTAGGGGCAGGTCACCCCAGCCGATGCTGGCACATTGGCCAGGTTGTCCCGCCGCCCGGGCACCAGGTATCCCCAGCCATGCCGCTCTGAGAAGTGCAGGGGGAAGCCGTCCCAGGTCAGCGCCATGAGTTTGGGTGTGACCCGCATCTGCAGGCTGAGGAGGCTGGGGCCCGGGGCCCACGCAGGGTCATCGAGTCGAGGACAGAGTTTCCGGTACCACCTGTGCCCCACCAGAGAACAGTGTCACAGTGGTGACCGCAAGGAAGCCTCTCTCCCCACGACATGCTCCACCTACCCTCCAAGGCCCGTGACCTCAGCCTGTGGCCACTTTCTCCCTCTGGGATGTGGCCCAGACCCCTGTGGAGTCCCGCAGAAAAATTCAAAGATCTCAAAAGGAAAGACCCTCCCGGTTTAGGCAGCAGCCAGGGCCCACAGGCGTGGCCCCCGGTGGGCTCCTTCCCGAGCTCCAGTCCCTGCAGGACAACTGGGCAGAGAAACAAATGGGTCTGCCCTCCCCCGACGGCTCTAGCAACACACTAGGGAGACCAGAGCTCCATCTCTCACATGCTGTTCACCCTGGCTGCCCGTTTTCCCAACTCTGCCACTCTGTGAGGCTCAAGTAAAGGGTCACCTCCTTAAGGAAGCCTTCCCTGATTACCCCAGGCAGAGCTAGGCACTGCCTCAACACAACCACTCCTCTGTGTAACCCTGGACACAGACACCAGCTGTGCAAGCCGGTCTGCGTGCCTGGCTCCTCCAGGGGTGAAGGGGGTCCTAGAGAGGAGGAGCTATGCTCCTGTATGCACCCCCAGGGCTGCCATGGCAGGCATACAGCAGGTGCTCAGTGAGCCAGGGGTCAGAGGGAACCAGCTGAGGGCAGGCGTGGAAGTCAGAAGGAACAGATGGCAGCCACCAGCCCTGCGCTGGGGCCCAGAATAGGGGTGTCCCGAGATGGGGGTGAGAGGATAGGGCTCACCCAGGGTGTCCAGGAAGGTGCTGGGGCCGCTTGGGCAGGAGCTCTGTGGTCCCCTTCAGCTGCTCCAAGCAGATGCGAGCCGTGATCGCTTGGTGAAACTCTTCCTCCTCACTGGGGGGGCCGGGGTCTGCACAGGGTGGGAGGACCATCAGAGCCCGGGAAGGGGCTCTCAGGAAGACCGGCCCAGCTTCTGATCTCCGGAGGGCTGCAGCAGCACTTTCCCAGGGCCCGGCTCTGCCCCACCTCCCACCATGCTCCCCACCTTCCTGATCCTGGGGCTGTCCGGGGGCCCCTGCACCCTCGGTGGGCACGCTGCTGGCGGCTGGCTCCCTCCTTGGCACTTTCTTAGCTTTCTTCTGCTTAAACTCTTGCAGATCCCACTCCAGGTCCCAGAGCCAGGGGTCGTCTTTGTACCTGCGCAGCCAGTCGGCACAGGGCTGAGGCCAAGCCGAAAGCCAGGCCCCCGCCTGCTGTCCCCTGCCCCGATCCTGCCTGCCCAGGCCCGGCTACCTCTCCCCGGAAAGAAGCTGGCAGGCGTCGTTGGCCAGGTCCATCAGCGACTTTTTCATCTCCCGCTGGAGCTCCTCATAGGTGCTCTGCGCCTCCGCCAGGTAGCGCTCCCAGTTCTGGTTGACGGGCAGGTAGGAGACACCCATCTCCAGCATGCCGGCCAGAGTCACAGGGTGGGGACACCTTGGGGGCAAACACCAGGGCTGCCATAAGTGACCACAGGAAGCAGGTTTCGGCCCGATCCCCAAGAGGTGTGGCAAGCCTCACCCCACCACCCGCACAGCATAGCTCCACAGCCAGACACACGGGGTTAAACCCCGGCTTTACTGCTTCTGCCACCAGACCCTGGGAACAGCAGGTCACCTCTCTGAGCCTCAGTTCCTCCATCCGTAAAATGGAGACAGTCACGTGCTGCTCAACTGGGATGTGTTCTGAGAAAGGCATCCTTAGGTGACTGTCACTGTGCACTGGCCCCATGGTGCCCACAGGGCCCCACCTCACCTCTCCAGGAAGAGTGGCAGCTGCTGCTGGAAGACCTCATAGGTGGCCCACACGTCCTGGGCACAGTACTGCATCAGGTCCTGGCACAGGCGACAGGAAGGCGCTGGGTGGGCAGCCATCCCACTACCACCGCCGGTCTCGGGGTCAGGTCTGGCAGCGGTGCCCCGGGCTCAGCTAGGGGTCTGCCACCCCATCCCTCCAGAGCCCTCTCCAGTTCCGTACCTGGAAATTCTCCCGGACGTCCTTCATGCTGCCCTTGACAAACAGCTCTCGAGGCTCCTTCTGTAGGGGAGGTCCCCCCACATACAGGCTGTGCACGTCTGCCAGGTTGTTGACACTGCTGATGTCCAGCCAGTCCCAGGATGAGATCTGAGGGGCCAGAGCAAGGGACACGGCAGGTGAGCCTGGCCTCAGGCCAGACAGGCAGGCTGGTGAAGGGGTCTCGCGCCCCCCACAGTGCGCACTCACCGCCGGGCCGCTGGCTTTGCTCGGGGGCTTCTGGCCTCGCTGTGTGCCTTGCCGGGCCTTGTGCTTGCCCTGCTTGGCTGCCATCCACAGGCTGCGCTGGAAGCTGCTCAGCCCCGAGATGGCCATGTGCATGCTCATGGTGTCCAGGAAGCGCATGCGGGAGCCCTGAGACAGGCTGCAGCTGAGGGCCAGCCTCCCCCCATCACACAGCTCCGACACCACGCCTGTCCCTGGGCCTGAGGGGCCTGCCCTCCCCAATTCTAGCCCCCCTTGAAGGTGCACACCTGGCCTAAAGGCCACACACACGTCCTTCCAGCATCCAGCACAGCCCTGAGGGGCACCTTGGGTACAGAGGGGCCAAAACAAGGCCTCTGAGCTGTCAGGCTCGACTCCAGCCCCGCCACACACAAGCAAGTAGCCCTGGGCAAGTCAACAAGGCTGAGCCTTGGCACCCTCAGCTACAGGCTAAGGCTGCTCTCCCTGCACTGCCCTCTCCCGGGGCTGTCGGGAGAACACGATGATAAAGCATTTTCCTAAAGTTAAGAATTGCCACAACTACACATGGCTGCAGTGTCTGTGCATTGGTCAGACCCTCCGGACAGTTATCTCCGTCCTTGCACAAATACGGAAACAAGCTCGGGGATGCCGAGATGCTCACACCGCTCATCCACGGCCGAGGCAGGACGTCAGCCCAGGCTGCGTGGCCCAGAGACTGCAAAGACCCATGCTGGGCTCTGCCGTGCCACACAGAGCAAAGGGCCATTTGTCCTGTGACAATTCAGGATCTGCGACAGGCTGGTCGTCACTGCCTCCCACAGTCACTTCGGCCAGGGCTCCCGCCCACCCGCACCAGCACCTGCAGCCGGCCCCAGGGCCCTTACCTGGATCAGGTACTGCTCCCTGATGTGGGCCCGGTCAAAGGAAACGTTGTGCCCTACCACTAACTGCTCCTGCCCGTCTCGCTGGGAGGGGCCGCCAGCACTGGCAGGGAACTCCAGGGGAATGAGGTCAGCCGGCGACAGCTGGCTGGTCCAAGAGTAACGCTCTTCCACCAGCCGCTGGCTGCACCAGGAATACCTGAGGGAGAGAGGCATGAACTTCCGCTCCCAGCACCCACTGCACCCCTGCCACCACGGGCCAGGCCACACAGCAGCTGTGGACACCAGAGGCACCAATGGGTGCTCCTGACCCTCACGGAGCCAGAGGTCAGGTGGAGCGGTGCGGGGCCTGTGCTGCGGGTGGTCACAAAGCTTTACTTCCGCAGGAAAAGGTGGCGTAAGCGCCACAGCCCTGGGGTCCGCGCTCAGCCTGGGCTTCGGGCCCAGTGTTCCCCGAGCCTGAGCTTGGCTCCGAGGTGCTTCATAAACATCCCCAACCCCTCATGACTGTCACCACAAACAGCTAGTGTTCAAAGTGCCAATGCACTTTGAGAAACAGCTAGAATACAATCCAAAGTGGATATTGGTGTGTGTTTTTTTTTCATTGGAAGTGGCAAAAAAAAGACAATGCTGCACTTGTGTGCAGGGTGAGTCATCTGATGGCTGGAGATTCTAAAGGTCAAAGAGCAGGTCACACACCTTGGAGGATCTGTGGCTCTCAGAGCAGCCTCCCTGAGAGCAGGGGAGGTGCCAGAACAGGAAACATGTGCAGGGTTTGGGGGCAGGGGGTGAGTGCTGCCTGCTGAGGGCCTGATGGACTCCGAAGAGGCCAGAGTGGGCTCAAGAGCCATGTGGCTGAGCGTGGGGAGGTGGCCGCTGGGAAAAGCCTGTTGTGCACACAGATTATGCCAAAGGGTCATGGCCCGCCAGCATCAAAGTGAGTGACCACGCCAGGTATGTGGCCGCCCCAGTTGCAAAGGAGCTCCCTGCAACCCTGATGGACAGGAGGAGGGGTTACCTGCCAAGAGTTTCAACAAGTGTGTGTGTGGAAGTGGGGTGGTGTGGGGGGAGGGGCAAAAAGAGGTTCCTCTTTTTAAAGCTGGTAAAACTGAGCTCCCACTGCAGGTGGGAATGTGCTCAGAGACTGAAGCTGAAACCTCCCGCCCCAATTTAGAGGTGAAAGCCCCTGAAAACACAGAAAAAGGCTGAAGAAGGTCAACGTTTGAGGCCACGGTGATGACAGAAACTTTAGTTGCAATAAAAAGTCACTGGCCCTGGCCGGCTTGGCTCAGTGGTTAGAGCGTTGGCCCGCAGACTGAAGGGCCCCGGGTGCGACTCCGGCCAAGGGCACAGACCTCGGTTGCAGGTTCCATCCCCGGCCTGCTTGGGAGGCTGAGGGAAGGAAACGGCAGCGCTTCTCAGCTGAGGGTGCTCAGGAGGATGCTGCCTCCAGGGGGGCATTTGGAAATGTTTGGGGGGAGGGTTCTGGCATTTAAAGGAGCAGGATGCTGATGTATTATCCTGTCTAGGACAGTCTCCCAAAAGGGAGATTTCTCCCGCCCAAAATACCCAATAGTGTCCCCAAGTAGAAACACTGCTCCAATGTCCTCTCAGGAAGCTATCAGGAGAGGGGCAAAGACACCAAGTCAAGGGGATCTCCGCCGGTCTCCAGGACAGCCCTCTCCTGTGATTCTTCACTAACCCGGGTCGCCACGGACACCTGCCTGGGTGCTTGTTTACTGTCTGTGTCTCCTGTCCAGGAAAGCTGGGCTCAAGCCGACTCACCACCGAGTCTGCAGTCGCTCGAAGAGCACCCACCCCGGCACCCAGTGGGAGCTCGGTCAGCGTCCACTGAACCAAACGATGAAGCTGGGCCCCTGCCCCCAGCGCGCACTTACCAGGCCGAGGGGGACATGGCCACCGCCAGCGTGGGGCAAGTTCCCTCTGCCAAGCAGACCTCCACGTCGAACACCAGGGCCCGCTCCTCGGGGGTGGCCACGGGTTCGGCCTCCCCCGCGGGGCCGTAGCGCGTCCAGCCCTGCGCCCAGGCCCAGCTGGCGGGCCGGGGGGGCGGCT